GGAGTTGCATTCCAATAGAAAAACTCTAATCTGGGTTATGATGATCAGTAAAAATTCTCATTCCAAAATATATACTAGTTAAAGCGAAATAAGATAAAGACAGAAAATGATTAGATGAAATTGGTGACATTGTTGTGGTGTGATTAATCACTTTTATGTGGCCATTCCAGCTATGGTCTTATGAGGCTCACCAAAAGATTGCAAATAGTACTTGTGGCCCACCAAGCATGATTGAACAGCTTGTTAAAAGTACAACTAGGGTTCGAACAAGGTATATGGGACCCTATGAGTTCATTGGTCAGTTTTTCCATGCCACTAGACTTGAGTGAGCCATCTCAGAGACTGGGATGAAGTACATCCTTTGGCCCTGTGTTGAGTACCGACTACCCTGTGCTGAGAACGTCCAAGACCCAGGAGACAGAGCTGTTAGCACTGGAGATGACACAAGGCAGTGAGAAGTGGCCTCAGAGAAATGATATTAGCAGATCCCAGAGACTGGCACATGATAGTGGGCTTCCAAGCCCATGGAGCAAAGTGGTTCCAGTGGGCATGCCAACTCACCGAGGAAAAGAGCTGAGGGCCTTCAGGTAGGGGCTGTCTTGCAGAGTGGGGTGGCCCTGAGCCACACTTGCCTGAGTATGCTGAGGCTGGACTGACATGCCTAAGAAGCCTGAGGGACGGAGGGGCAGAAGGACAGAGAGAGGGCTGCCTGTGGGCACAGCTGAGAAGGGGCTTTCCTGAGGGAAAAACAGCAGCCTGAGCCTTTTCTGATGCTGGATCATAATCTGTTCCCCACTGCCATCAAAGCCTATAAAGCGTATGCAAGCAGATAACCTAATTTTTCTCCCAAGAAGCAGTTATTTGCCTTTTAACCTCCAAACTTGCAGTTACCAATCTAATTTTTACCCTAATAAACCCCATGGTTTCAAGTATTATCTGAGTTCTGTGTGGCCATCACAAGTAATTATGAACCCAGCAGAGAACTAGAGAATGTCATGGGAGGGATGGTTAGTGTCAAAATTAGTAACCCATTTGGGGACTGGACAGCCTTGGACAGCTGATAGTGATGATTTCTATTCCTTTTTCTCTTATAAAGTTAAAAGTTCAGACACCACGCCCACATCTTTTTTTTTTTTTAACAGCAACCCTATAGGGCAAAGTAGAACTGCCCCATAAGATTGCCAGGGCTGTAAAGGAGCTCTGGTGGTATAGTGGTTACACGTGGGGCTGCTAACTGCAAGATCTGCAGTTCAAAACCAACAGCTGCGGGAGAAAAGCAGAGAGGTGGGGCTTTCTACTCTCGTTATCAGTTTCAGTCTCAGAAACTCTGAGCGGCAGCTCTACCATATATGAGTCCCTATGATAGGCATTGGTATAATGGGAATAAGTTCAGTTTTAGTTTTAGTAATCCTTACAGAAACAGCCTGCCAATCCCCACCCCTCCACCCACCTTGGAGCAGCTGGTCGGTTCAAACCACAGACCTTTCAGTTAGCAGCCAAGAAGTTAACCACTGCCCTTCCAGGGTTCTTATACTTAATATAACATCACGAAAATGGCACTTTACCCCTGTGATCTTTCTCCCCAAAACCAAAACTTTGGTCTAATAATAAGAAAAAGAGCATTGGGTAAAAAATAAAAAATATATATGAGTAAACTGTGACTTTATTCAATGCATCCATCTTGGTTCATTCATTTTAATGAGTGCGCCGAGCTACTATGTTTCGTTTGTGGTACGTAAGGTAGCTGTGACTCAGAACCTCCCAGAAGACACGTAATAGCAGCAAATATGTCGGACGTCACACCTCGGAAACCGAGTGTGGAGCATAGGGGAAGCGCTGTCCTGTCACCTCTGTGTTTCAAGACAAAACTACATTTAAAAATAAGGTATTCATATTGAGATGAAATTCACGCGTAGTCTTGAAGTCAACAATTAGGTGACAGTTAGTACATTCATTGTAAGAGCAATCACCACTCTGTCTAGTTAGAAAGTATTCCCATGATTCGAAAGTAAAGCCTCTTCACATTAAGTAATTTCTTTCTATTCCCTTATTTCTTCTCCACCTCAAACAACAAGCAAACAAAACCCCTCAACAATCTATGTTCCTTTTTTATGTATCTATTCTGGATACTTCTTAGAAATATAAATATTTCTTATAAAAACAAGTCAACCAATATGTGATCTTTTGTATCTGGTTTCTTTCAGTTAGTGTAATATTTTGGGGTTCGTCTACACTTAGCATATTAGTATTTCATTATTTTCATGGCTACTATTTCATTGTGTGTATATATATATATACATATATATATATATATGTAGTGGTGTATATATATAGTGGTATATATATATATACCACTATTTGCTTATCCACTCATTCATTGTTGGACATTTGCACAATTCTACCTTTTAACTATGGTGAATAGAACTTCTATGGACATAAGTGTGTATGCATGTGTTTGAGTACCTGCTTTCAATTTTTGGGAATACAGACCTAAGAGTTGCTGGGTTATATAGTCATTCTATGTTTAACTTAGAGGAACTTCCAAAATTTCCATAGTGACTGAATCATTTTACCTTCCCATCAGCAATGAACAAAGATTCCAGTTTTTCCACATCCTCACAAACATTTCGTTTCATACTTTTACTTGTCATAAAGCCCTACTTGTAGAGTGTGAAATAATGCCCCTTTGTGGTTTGATTTGCATTTCCCTACTGACTAATAAAAACTGGAGAGTCCTGGTGGTATAGTGGTTATGAGTTTGGGCTGTGACTAAAATGATCAGAGGTTTGAAACCAGGAGCAGCTGCGAAGGAACAAAACTAGGCTTTCTACTCCCGTCAACAGTTACAATCTCAGAAACCCATAAGGGTTGCGATGAGTCAGCACTGACGGGATGGCAGTGAGTGAGTGAGTGAGTGAGTATGACCAATAAAAGGGATGCTGGTGGCACTGTGAGTTAGGCACTGGGCTGCTCACCTCAAGGTCAGCTATTTGAACCTCCCAGCTGTTCCACAAGAGAAAGATGAGGCAGTCTGCTTCCTGAAAATAATTACCATCTCAGAAACTATAGATAGTGTCTCTATGAGTTCAAATTAACTCAATGACAGTGGGTTTAGTAAATAATGAAGCAGTCCTGGAGGCCTAAATGATTAAACATGAAGCTACTGTTTGAAATTCACCCAGTGGCTCTAATCCCTGGGAGAAAGACTTGGCAGTCTACTTTTATAAAGAGTGCAGCCAAGAAACCCGCCCCCTGAGGCAGTTGTATTCTGTCCACTTGCAGAACTTCTACTCAGCTTAAGCCTCTAGTGCAGCAGTTCTCAACCTACGGGTCGCGATCCCTTTGCGGGTCAAAGGACCCTTTCACAAAGGTCACCTGATTCTTAACAGTAGCAAAATGACAGTTATGAAGTAGTAATGAAAATAATTTTGTGGTTGGGGGTCACCACTACATGAGGAACTGTATTAAAAGGTCACGGCATTAGGAAGGTTGAGAACCACTGCTCTAGTGAATCCCCTATAACCATTGATCAGGGATTGGAATCGCCTTGCTAGCAGAGTACATTGGAAAGTGGACAAATGCAGAGGTGGTTAGGTTAAAATAAAACACCTTACATTTGTTCTCCCTCTTGACCCATCTTATATTTGTTCTAGTTTTTATTGTTTTCTGCTTTCTTTCTGGTGGAGGTTTTTCTCTGTTTTGTTATTGTTGTTGCTTTTTTTCAATGTTTTTCTTATATAAAATCTAGGATAGGTAAATCCAGAGACAGCAACTTTATTAATAATTTCTTAGCATTATAGCAGGGGAGTTTGGTGGTAAATAGGAAGCTATTAGTATAAGAAAGAAGAAAATGCTCTAAAACTGCAGTGATAAGTGCACAACTCTTGTTTAAATCATTGAATTGTATGATACATGAATTATGTCAATAAAAAGGCCTAATTTTTTTTAGAAAGAAAACCATAATGTGGATAGCAAAGACTCTGAAAATTGCTCTTGAACATAGAGTATAATAGCAAATGGAAGAAATAATGAAATAAAAGGGCTCAACAGAAAAGCCCAAGATGTACCTAGAGAAGATAAAGGATACAAACTGTTCAAAGACCTGGCATTAGAAAAACCAACGGCAAGAAGACATTCAGCGCCTATCTCAAGCTGGTGGGGGGGTGGGGGGGTGATGAAAGATGCGGTCCTCGTGTTGCAATATTGAAGGATTCTATGGGCAAAATATTGAACAATGCAGGGACATCAAAAGAAAAGTAGAATGAACACACTTAAGCGAATATGGCAAAAAGAATTTCAAGTAGTATATGATCAAGAACGTATGATATTGAAGGGGAAAGTTCAAGTTGCACAGAAGGCATTGGTGAAAAGCAAAACTCCAGGATTTGACATAATAGCAATTGACATGCTTCAACAAACTGATGCAGCACCAGAAGCCCTTCTGTTCCCCCAAGAAATTTGGGAGACACCTACCTGATCCTTTCCTAAAACCATGACCCAACAGAGTGCAGGGTGGCATCTTCTACAAGATCTACTAGATACGCAAACAAACATACAAAAAAGGAGAAAAGAATGAATCAACCAATGAAAACCATGAATATATCAATACTTTGTCGAAATCTGGTCAGTGTTATTGGTTTCAGGCTTTGGGGAGTGAAAACTAAGAAAAATGTGGCTTCGTTTTCTATGAGACAAACGACTGAAGTTTGCTGAGCACCTCTCCTAAGTGCATGATTCCATTCGTTGCTTCAAGAGCCAGGTGTTTACCTAAAGTGCAGACAAGGACCAGGACTGGGGAGACAGGAAATGCTCCAGCCAGCCCTGGGAAAGGGACCAACTGAGCTTTCGGAAGCCAGACCGCGGGGGCTTGTGGGTACCCTTCTGCAGCTAATGCGCGTGCGCGCCGGTGCGCGGGGCTGGGGCTTTGCTGAAATTCCTAGGCTCCGCAGCTGTTAACGCTCGGTTGGTCTTCCATTCCTGCGAGATTACCAGACTTGCGCCGTTGACCTGGAGCAAAGGCAGTCGTGGGGCTCCTCTCGGGCTGCCGTTGACCGAGGTTGAGTGGAGCCTGGGTGGAAGCTGAGCTAGCAAGTACGACTTAGGGAGACGGCGGGGCGGGTCACTCCGGCTTTTGCTGTCTAGGTTTTCCGTTTAACCGAATTCCAACACCCGGGTGTGCAGCCTTTGCCTGAACGTCTGGAGGGGGGAGCGAGAGCCGATGGAGAGGATTTGAGGCGTGCCAGGAAGGTAGACGTGGGGGAGAGTTGCGGAAAGGAGGGCCCCGGGCGGCGAATGGAGCTTCCCGGCAGTTCTCTGCCGTTTCGCAGTGGGGGCATCTCGGGGAGTGCACCTCGCGATCAGCCTCTGTAGAAATGACTGACAGGGATGCTGCGCGACTCTATCAATTGCCTGGAAAGTGAAATGGAGGAAAGTTGACTTCACCTTGATTTCCCTTCCCAAGGAGCCCTGGTGGTTACGCGTTGGGCTGCGACAAGCGGGGTCGGCAGTTCGAAACCACCAGCCGCTCCTCTGGAAAAAGCCTGGGCTTTCCAGTCCCGTGAACAGTTACAGTCTCGGAAATCCACCAAGGGTCGCTGTGAGTCAGCGTTGACTCAGTGGTGGTAGTAAGTTTGGTTTGGTTTGGTTTGCATTCCCAAGGGATCCCTGGTGGTAGAGTGGGTTAAGAATTTGCTAACTGCAAGATCAGCCATTGGAAAGCACCAGCCGCTCCCAGGGAGACAGGAAAGGCTTTTTGCCGGGACAGGTGAGCTCTGTGCAGGGAGTTTGCAGTCCAGTAGTTGCTGGCCACTCCCTAAAGTATAACCAGCTAGATTTCTGGAATCGGACATTTACTTGCCTCCTTTTATTATCATTATTTTAAAAGGTATTTAGTGGACTAAGCATTGGACTGCGAACTACGCGGTAAGTAGTTTGAAACCACCAGCCGCTCTGAGGGAGCAAGATGAGGCTTTCTATTCCCATAAACATTTAGTCTTAGAAACCCACAGGGGCAGTTCCCCTCCGTCCTGTAGGGTCGCTACGAGTCAGAATTGACTCGATGGCGGTGAGGTTTAATAATTTTGGTTTTGAGTAGCACAGTCACTATTCATGGTTAAAGGATTAACAAAACTTTTTTTTCCCCTTTTGCATGTTGATTTAAACTCTTAATTCAAGGTCTATTCTCCTGGAAATTCTGAAAGGGTAAAATGTTCACTATGTTACTAGATAGCAGTATTTATTCCAAAAATTGACCACTGACTGATAAATTGCAGAAGGACTGAGGACACCGAATTGGATAGAAAGCTATTATCAGACTTCCCCCAATGCAGCGAGTGGTGCTCATAGTTGGGCAAGCTGTTTGCTGTGGCCTGGAAAGCTGAGCTTATGAACTTGTTACTAAAAATATTAGCTAAATTGGGAGGCTTTTCCATCCAAGTTCCTCTCATAACCACTTATGTGCGCCTCATATTTTTGAGCCTGGGTGATATTCTTTGAGCTCTGCCACTGAAGGTGAGGGGAATGACTATTAACTCCCTGTCAGGGTCAGCTAGAGGTCTGGATGATCTATGAGGTCTGAGCCACCTCTCCTGAATTATCTCACCTGATTCATTCCACTGGGCTAACTCATCACCCGACTCCACAGGATCCATCCATCCATTGATTATATCAAAGACGATTACAGATTGATTTGACCCATCCCAAATTGCCTGGCATTATCCATTCCAGAGCTCCTGTCCAGAAAACCTATCAACTAACCCCACCCCATATGATAATGAGATAATGCTAGCTTTTCTCAGAGGGAGAAAAACCCCAGGAAATTCACTTTCAACACACAACACACCCCTACTGGCAAGCTGTGTTTTCTATCCAATAACCTTAGAAAACTGTTACGAAATGTGACTTAAGGTATGGTTGAATACGGCCTGCATAATCAGTTGCTCCTACGAACCCGTAATAGGCATTGCAGACTTACCTGTAGTAATTTCTTAAAATATAAAACCTCTTAAACATTAGAGTTTGGGGGTGCACTTTTTAATTTAACCTTAATGATATGTTAGGTGCCTTTCAAGTCCGTTCCAACTCCCAGCGACCTTATGCAGAGCAGAATAGAACACCACCACCGGGTCCTGTGCACCTTCACCATTGCTGTCTGAGCCCATGGTTGCAACCTCCTTATCAATGTATCTTGTCAAAGATCACTGCCCCTCCACTTTATCAAGCACGATGTCCCTTACCAGCAACTGATTTCCTCTGACAACATATCTAACATTTGAGACTTGCCATCCGTACAACTAAGGAGCAGTTTGGCTGTACTTGTGTGTGTGTGTTTCACTTTTTTTAATAACTTTCCTGGTTGATTACACACTTAGGAATGGTATACTGCACCAGTCATGAATAGTAAGAGTTCCACCACAGAGACCTTTTGTATTCAGAATCCAATATAAATATTTTGATTCAGACATTACCATGCCTACAGATAGGTATTTTCTTGATTTATATGCATAGAAAGAAACAGTTGTCATAACCAAAAAGCAGTACTTACCAAGGCCTTTCAGATAATTGGGACCGTTTCCATTTTAGATTACCACACTGCTTGTTGGTCTGGAAACTTAAGTCACCTTATATAATGATCTGATTGTTCTCAATGGCATCAAGAATACTTTTCATTGCTGCATTGCTGTTTTTGCTTTTAACCCTTCTAGTTGAGGTAGGGACCATTTAATAAAAAAAATCATTGTAACACTAATTAACAAAGCTTTGTTACAGGGCATATTATATACCATAATGTTTTTCAGGCTTTTTATTAACCTGAACAGGCACATGCATACTCAGAGCAGAGGAAACAGAACATGTGAATGAGGTAATTGGAAATACCAGGGCCAGGGTCAGGTTCCTCTTAGTCCTCAAATAAACATCCTTGCTCTTTAACTTTATAACTTTTCAACTTGATAAAGACGTCTTATACAACAGATTTATCCAGTGCAGTGCACCATTTGATTTCTTAACTGATGCTTCCATGAGGATTGGTTGTGTATCCAAGCAAGATTAAATCCTCGACAAGTTCAGTCTTCTCTACTTTACTTATTGGTTTTGAGGATTTGGGTCTTTTTTACATTGAGTTGTAATCCACATCGAAGACTGCAATCCTTGATCTTCATCAGCAATTACTTCAAATCCTCACTTTCATAAGCAAGGTTGTGTCATCTGCATATAGCAGGTTGTTAATAAGCCTTCCTCCCATCCAAATTCTGTGTTCGTCATATATTCCAGCTTCTCATATTATTTGCTTAGCATACAATTGCACAAGTTGGTGGAAGTATACAACCCTGACACCTTCCCTGATTGTAAACCATGAAATATTCCCTTGTTGTGCTCACATAACTGCCTCTTGATCCATGTATAGGTTCTGCATGTGCACACTGAAGCGTTTTGGAATTCTCATTCTTCTCAATACACAAAGTCAAATAACACAAGTAAGACTTTTTTTTCCTGATATTTCCTGCTTAAAAATCCATCTGATGCCCCTTAAAAAAAAAAAAAAATCCATCTGATGGCAGCAATGATATCTCTTGTTCCATGTCCACTTCTGGAAGTCCACATGGAAGCTGGCTTGAATTTCTGGCAGCTCCCTGTCAGGGTATTGCTACAACCATTGTTGAATGATCTTTAGCAAAATGTATGTATGATGTCAGTGATATTGTTGGATAATTTCCACATTCTGTGGGGTCACCTTTCTATGGAATGGGTACAAATATGAATCTCTTCTAGTAGGTTGACCAAATATCTTGGTATAAACTAATGAGTGTTTCCAGTGCGTCATCATTTTGTGGAAACGAGTCAGTTGGCATTCCACCAATTCTTGGAGCCTTGTTTTGTTATGTTGTATTCTTCCCATCTTTTGATGCTTCCCACATCACTCAATGTTTTGCCCACAAAATCGTTGAATATTGCAACTGAGGCTTGAACTTGTTTTCTTCTATGCTCAGCTTACTATATGCTGAGTAGCTCCTTGCTTGCCTAACTCCAGGTCTTTGCACATTTCATTACATCTAGTCTTCTAGGGCTGCCCTTTGAAATTTTCTGTTCAGCTCTTTCACTTCATCATTTCTTCCATTTAGCTATTGTATGAACAAGAGCAAGTTTCAGAGACTCTTCTGACACCCAGTTTGATCTTTTTTCCTTGTCTTTTTAATATAATAGCCTTTTTCTTTGTCCATGTCTGATATTCTTGATGTCGTCCCACAGCTCCTCGGGTCTCCTGTCAGTAGTGCTCCAGACGTTGAATTTTAGGTGGCAGATACTCAAGGTCATTTTTTGACTCTCATGAACTTGTTTTAAATTTCTCCAGCTTCAGCTTAAACTTACATATTAGAAATTGATGATCTATTCCACAGTCTGCCCCGATCTGGTTTTGAGCTTCTCTAACATCTCTTCCCACAAAGGTAATCAATTTGATTTCTGTGCATTCTGTTTAGAGAAGTCCATGTGCATAGTTGTCTTTTATGTTGTTGAAAAAAGTATTTGCGATAAAGAAGTCATTGGTCCTGCAAAATTGTGATCTCCAGCATTTTTTTTTCTATCACCAAGGACATAGTTCCCAACTACTGTTCATTCCTCATTGTTTCCAACTTTTACATTCCAATCCCCAATATTTATCAGTATTATCTTAATTGCATGGTTGATCACTTTTCATATTGAAGACATTGGTAGAATTCTTCAGTTTCTTCCTCACTCGTTCTAGTGCTTGGTATGCAAATTTAAATAATACTTGTATTGACTGGATTTCCTATGTGCAGATAGATATTATCCTATTACAGACAGCACTGTACTTCAAGATCTATCTTGAAATGTACTTTTCAATGGAGAATGCAACACCAATCTACTTAAATTTGTCATTCCTAGCTTAGTAAATTATGATTGATTCAATATGACCAATACCAGTCCATTTCATCTCACTAATGCCTAGGATATCGGTCCTTACGTGTTCCATATCATTTTTTATGATTTCCAATTTTCCTTAATTCATACTTTATACATTCAAGGTTTCAATTATTAGTAGATGTCTGCAGCTATTTTTTCACATTTTAAGTCATGCCTCATCAGCAAATGAAGTTCCCTAAAGTTTTACTCCATCCATATCATTGTAGTCCACTCTGCTTTGAGAAGGCAGCTCTTTTTCAGTCATATTTTGAGTGCCTATGTTCTATAACTATATCTGGCAATATTGCACTACTATTCATAAGGTTTTCAGTGGTTTATTTCTCCAGTATAGACAGCCTATTCTTTCTTCATAGTCTGTTCTTAGTATAGAAGGTCTGGTGAAACCTGTTTGCCCTGGGTGACCCTGTGGGTATTTGAAAGACCAGTAACCTAGTTTCCAGCATCATAACAACAGACAAGCCACCACAGTACAACAAACTGACACACAAGTGGTGGTAGTAACAATGAAATCACTCAGAAATTTATACACACACACACATATACACATACTGCCATAGATTCTGTTTTGACTCACAGCTCCCCTGTAGGTAGATTCTGACTCATAGTGATGCTATAGAGTAGACCTGCCCTTTTGGGTTTCCAAGGCTGTAACTCTCTACTGGAGCAGATACCCTCCTCTTTCTCCCTGAGTTGCTGTTGACCTTGAAGTTAGCAGTGCATTACATCACCCACTACTCCACCAGGGGTATATACACACACACACATATATATACGTATATATACACATACATATATACACATATATACACACACATATATATGATTATGTCTTACATTAATTTGTAATTATAAAGCTATTGTCAGGTTTGCACATTTTATATAACTTTATTGGTGTTTTAATGAGCAGTTTAAGAGAGATTTCTAGGTATATCTAGCCTATAATCCTGGATCTCTTGCTTAGCAATTTGCTTAGTTTTAAAGCAAAAATGAGTTGTTACATGGTATTCCCCACTTTCCCCACCAAAAGAAAAATATCCATGAGGTTTTCTAAACAGTAAACATTGATTGGCTATTTGTTTCTTTGCCTTACTTTTGGTTTCCTTTCCTAAAGTAGGAAACAAGAATGGAACTGTCTATAATATTAATATAATTAAGAATCTATAATTATAATATTAATTTTCCTTAGGTAATTTAAAAATAGCAATTGAACTATATTTTGTATCTTGGCACCACATTAATGCATATTCTTTTCAATGAGTCATATTTGTTTCTTTTTACAGTTCCTTGGGTACCCCTATTGACTTTATACTTGAACCTTCTGGAACTTTCTGCTGATTAAGCTATTACTTGGCGCTAATCACATGTTGTTTAGCCTGAGCTTGAGAATTATTGGAGTCCTCTGATAAGAAAAATTTGAACTGCAGTGGGAAGTCTGTCTTGGAAGATGCAGCCTCTGAAAAGATTAATGGCCATCCTAAAGCCTCAAAACTTGGCTGTGTGTGAAAAAAGTGAAGTCCTGAATTGGCAGAAGGAAGACATCCCAGTAATGGAGATATGTGACTCAGAGGCCTCTCGTCGGAAGTTCAGACAGTTCCAGTACCTGGAAATGGCTACACCTCACGAATCCCTGAGCCAGCTTTGGGAGCTCTGCCTTCAGTGGCTGAAACCAGAGATTCATACAAAGAGTCAGATCGTAGAGCTGTTGGTCCTGGAACAATTTCTCACAGTTGTTCCCGAAGAGGTCAGGACTTGGGTGAATTTACAACATCCAGAGAACAGCAAAGAGATAGTGACCCTCATGGAAGATATGTTTGACATGCTTAAAGACAAAGGTAAGAATGTAGAAAGTTGAAGTGAGAATAGTTGGCTCTTCTATATGAAGAAAAGCTATCTTTTTCTACAGTTAGAGGATATCAAGAGTAAAATTATGAAGGACTTTGTATTACCAAAAGAGAGAGATCACTGAAAATATGAGTGCTAGAGTAAAGTGTGGTGAGGAAACTAAATGATGCCTGGCTATCAGTAAGAATAGTATCTGGTTACTTAAAGGCTTGTCTTCAAACAAGCAGCCATCCAAGTGAGGAATCAACTAAGGCCACAATGGAAGAAGCACATCAGTTGTGTCATCCAAAGATTGTAAATACTATAAAGTCCAGATCCAAAGGAGGGAATAGTATCAGAGCTGAAATTGTGAATACCCAGTGTGCAGATAGATGTCAGAGGGAACCCAAAATCCATTTGCAGGGTCCCCAAACTCACTACCATTGAGCCAATGCTGACTCATAGTGACTGACCCCTTGTGGGTTTCTGAGACTAAATGTTTACAAGAATAGAAAACCCAGTCTTTCTCCTGAGGAGCAGCTGGTAGTTTCAAACTGCCCACCATGCAGATCACAGCCCAAATCTCCAGGGTTGTGAGTCAGCCTTGACTCACTGGCATAGTGAGTACATGGCTTAAGCCTCTGGTAAATCCCTTCTGACCACAGTCAAGGGATGAGAATAGCCTTGTTGTCAGACAGCATTGGGCAGTGAATGAGTACAGAATGAAGGCCCCAGGGAATACCAGAAATAGAGGGCACCCCATCAGACTTGACTGGAAAACACTCCTACTTTTTCTGTCATTGGTTTTTTGTTGTTATTTTGCATTGCTCTGTCTTGTTTTTGTGCTTATTATTGTCTCTGCATGTCTATCTAGATAAGATAGGTGGGATAAACAATCCAGAGGAGAAAATGGTTCTGAGGGGACAAGGGAAAGGGGGAGGCTGGGGCAAGGAACGGCTGTCAACAAACCCAGGGACAAGGGAACAACAAGTGATCTAAAATCAATGACGAGGAGGGCATAGGATGCCTGGTGGGGCTTGATCAAGGGCAATGTAGCCAAGAGGAATTACTGAAACATGAATGAAGGCTGAACATGATAGTGGGACAAGAAGAAAGTAAAAGAAAATAGAGTTAAGAACTAGGAGGCAAAGGACATTTATAGAGATCTAAATACAAACAGATATGTAAATATATATATAATGATAGGGAAATAGATCTATGTACATAGATTTATATGTTAAGTATTAAGTTAGCAGACAGACAGTGGGCCTCTACTCAAGTACTCCCTCAATGCAAGAACACTTTGTTCTAATAACCTGGCATTCCTTGATGCTCACCTCCCCAACACAATTGTTGAAGACAAAATGGGTGCATAAGCAAATGTGGTGAAGAAAGCTGATGATGCCGGCTATCAAAAGATATAGCATTTGGTGTCTTAAAGGCTTGAAAATAAAACAAGCACCCATCTAGCTGAGAAGCAACAAAGCCCACATGGAAAGAAGCACACCAGCCTGTGTGATCATGAGGTGTCAATGGATTCAGGTATCGGGCATCAAAGACCCAGAACAAAAAATCATATTGATGTGAATGAGGGGGAGTGAAGAGTGGAGACCCAAAGCCCATCTGTAGACTATTGGACATCCCCTCACAAAAGGGTCAAAAGAAAGAGATGAGCCACTCAGGATGCAGTATAGTACTGATGAAATATACAACTTTCCTCTAGTTCTTAAATGCTTCCTCCCCATGTCTATCATGACCCCAAATCTACCTTACAAATCCAGCTAGACCAGAGCATGTATCCAGGTACAGATAAGAGCTGGAACAAGGGAATCCAGGACAGATAAACTCCTCAGGACCAATATTGAAAGTAGCGATACCAGGAGGGGAAGGGGAAGGTAGAGGGGAGAAAGGGGAAACCGATCACATTGAGATACATATAACCTTCTCCCAGGGGGACAGACAACAGAAAAGTGGGTGAAGGAAGATGGTGCAAGACATAAAAAAAAATGTATAAGTTATCAAGGGTTCATGAGAGGGCGGGGGAAATGGCCTGATACCAAGGGCTCAATTAGAAAGAAAATGTCTTGAAAATAATGATGGCAACATATGTACAAATGTGCTTGACACAGTGGATGTGTGGATTGTGATAAGAGCTGTAAGAGCTTCCAATAAAATGATTTTAAGAAAATATTAACATTTTATCCTTATCATTTGATCTTTTTACTCATTTTAAATTTGTTCTAGTTTTTAATATTTACTGTTTCTTTTCAGTTGAGGCTTTTCTGTTTTATTTTGTTGGGTTTTCCTTTTCTGTATATGAAATCCAAGATAGGTAAATCTATAGAGACAGGAGCTGGATTAATGGTTTCTTATGGACATGGTAGGGAGGCAGGTTGGGGAAAATGGGGAGTTCATAACAATGAGTAGAAGAAATTGTTGTAAAACTGATTTTGGTGATAATTGTACAACTCTTTTTAATATAATTGAACTATTGTATATGTAAATTATGCAGTTTTATAAAATAAATCAGGAAAACAAAAATAAATTTCTAGCGATATCAGGAAAACAAATAAAAGACTTGGCAGTCAAGGAAACCCACAGGGAGTTGGGTCGCCCTGAGTCAGAACTGACTCAATGGCAGTGAGTGAGTAAGTACATTCGGAGTTATCTAATATTTTTCATAACAATTATATGCTATAGAGGCATCTATGAAAGCACCAAATCATCGTTCAAGCGTGAAATCCTCGATAGAATGCCATTACATCTTTTAACTATATTAGTAATATAGGCTTCTAATAGATGCTTTCATTAGGCACAGATGTTCTTAGGAATCTTTGGCAAAATGAAATCTATCAATATGAAATTTAAAAATGACAATAATGGGCTTTATTCTACAAACAATCTAAATAGAACTCACGGTATGTGGGGGATCTCAGGTGGCTTTTTAAATATGTTGGCATCAGTGTAGAACAAGGGTCAGCAAACTATGGCCCATGTGATCATTTGTATTAGAACATACCTGTGCCCGTTTGTTGTGTCATGTCTCTGACTTCTTTCATGCTATAGCAAGAAGGAATTGAGACTATATAGCTTACAAAGCCTAAAATATTTATTCTTGGAGCCTTTACAGATGCTGACATCTGGTGTAGATTGTAGATTTGAAAGTTCTGGAACTAGGGAAACTGTTAGGAGACTGTTGTAGTCGATCATGTGAGAGAGAATGAGGGAGCATGGGGGGACTGAGGAGTGGACATGTTCAGAAATTACTTGGGTCTGAGGTGAGTGGAATGAGATTTGACGTAAAGCACATGCTTGCTTGCATGAAATGAGAGTAACAGATTTTTGTGGGGGAGGTAATATAGCATATTCTTATTGATCATGTTAAAAGCACCACTGATCATCACAAGTTACTTTAAAGCAGATTTTGTCTCCTAATACTGCCCTTCATTTTCCTCAGATACACCCTGTGAGGAGTCTGTCTTCCAGAATGGGAGCATCAAGGAGGAGGCGATGGAGGCCGACTCACTAGCAGGCTTCTCTCAGGTGAATTAGTTCCACTCTTGACTGAAAATGTATGCCTTTTCTTTTTAATGTAGGCCTTTCTTTCATGTGACCTGCGGTTACTTTGTTGGTCTTTTGAACTTCTGCTAACTATAGTTTCATCTGAGAACAAGAGACTCTTGTTCTGCCCCTGGAAATTGAAATGCAGGATTGGCACTAACTCTGGAAAACATTTTTCTTAACCTAGTCTGGGTGG